CACATACACACATACATACATGCATGCATGCATGCATGCATGCATGCATGCATGCATGCATACATACATATACAAATACTTACACGTACATGCATATACATAAATATACATACATATACACACACATATACATGCATGCATGTATGCACATACATGCATACATACATACACACATACATACATACATACATATACATATATATACACATATAGACATATATACATATATACACATATACATATACATATACATCCACCCATCCATGCATACAAATTTACATATAAATATGCATATACACATACATACATTCATACACACCTACATACATACATACATACATACCTACATACATACATACATATACATATACATACATATACATACATGAACATAGACATATACATATGCACAAACATATACATACTCATCTACATGCATACATGCACACATACATGCGGCATACATGCATGCATGCATACACATACATTACATTACCTTTCGCTACATTACATTACATTACATTACTCAGTACAGTACAGTACAATACATCACATTACATTACATTCATACAGACATGATTGCACACATACACACATGCCTTTACGCGTAAAATTTCGTAAGTTTTACGCCTTGCTGGAAGGCCTTGGCCGTGAGTCTCAAGCCATACCTCAGAGGGGTCGGAAGACCTGCACAGCGTGAGCTCCGTCGAGAGCATCTTTCATGCAACCTCAGCCGAACTCGGGGTCGCTGAAGGCTGGGGTGCTGCAGAGGAAGACTTCAGGTCACTTCCGAGAAGATTTCACTCGCAGTCTGCGGTCTCGTGCTCATGCCGAGAGTCATCAGAATCTATCCCACTGTCTATCTCTCTCTCTCCCTCTCCTGTTGCCGGGGCCTGTCTCTTCAAAGTTGGCGAGATGGTGATAATAAATGGATTATATGCAACCAAACCTATACTCAGAAGGATTCCACGCCAGCAGGAAACGGAACATGTCCCTCAAGCCTGCGCCGAAGCATCTTGCATTTGCTGAGTTGCATGCTTGTAGTTGTAGTCAGAAGTAACAGGCCCTACTAGATATGATGACAGCTTGAACTACTGACACATATTGTTCCTACATCGCAAGAGCAGAAGAATTGTTTCTTCCGCACGACTGGCCACCAGGACGCTCATTTGGAGCCAAGGGTGTTTTCCGCGCTGTAGATGATGTACAAGAACCTGGTGCGGGCTTTATGTTTTGGCTCCCACGTGGCATCGTCCGAGAACTCTGCATAGCTTTATGTATTTGTATGTATATATATATATGTATGTATGTACAGTGTATATATTCGTATACAAGTCGTGATTCAACTGCGCATGTGTATAGGTGTACAGTTCCAGGTACATATGCATGCATATACTCATTAGCATAGGTCCCTGGCTGGCAGCAAACACCAATTGTACATAGGTGGATACGCCCAATTGAACACGCATGCAAACTCATGCAAGCAAGTCTTCGCACATGCACACTACAGGCATGCTGCAAATGGTCGTGAACCTATGAACCCAGACCTACATGGTTTGATAGCACAAAATAACATATTGCCACGTGCCATTTCATGGCACTATCGCATTGCACCAATTGGCTATTCCTGGCGCAGCATACATGCATTGCATTACACACATGCAAACACGCAGACAAACATGCGGACACACGTACCTACATATGTACGGACGTGCATGCAGCTGCTTGTGCAGATGCAAACGCACGAGCATAAACACATCACCATCTAGGAGCATGCGTTTGCCTCTGCTACACACAGTCTGGGCTCTTGGCCCGTCTTCTGACCGGCTGCTGTCATAGAGCTCAGACATCACCGCTCCTGTCTTCACCTAGGCGTCAGCTCAGCGTCTCTTTGTTGACTGACAGATAGACCACCACTAGCCCACCCTAATCGCAAATTTAAATGCTGGTCTGCATCGCTCGGTTGTGCACTGTAAGCTCGGTGCAAAGGTGAAGAAACTATGCATTGCCAGTGGGTCTGGGCGAATTGCAACAGCATCGCTGCTCAGCTGCACGAGTGTTGGTGCCTCTGGGCATCGCCCGAGCTGTTGATCACAGGTGTCGAGCTAGCCGGACAAATTACCCACAGAGGCCTCCAAGCCTAACCTCCGGCCGCCGGCCAAAAAATGTGAGATGCATTGCGCTGGGCATGTTGCACCTTGACCTCTCTTCGACCACTCCAGGCACGAAGCACATGTGAGCAAATCAGGAAACATGGTTGGGCTGCCGGAGGTGTCGGTGGAAGGTGCTGTCCAGGTCGCTGCCTTCTTGGTCTTGTCTTTCCGAGTAAACAGGTAGATGACCTGCAGGGCTTTCGTAGTTGCACACCCCATTTCCTCACATCAGGCCAACCTTGAAACCCTAGGCAAAAAAACATCGCAAGACGCGTCGGTTTTGTAGTCGATGAACCTGTATCTCTAGAGCACGTTTGATCCATCATGTGCATGTAATGTCATTGGTTTTACACTGCTGTAAGCGAGACACAACAGGCAAAAAGTCAAACTTCTGATTCTCCCGGTTCAGACATCAGCAGGATGGGCGGCCGAATGGGCATCATGTCACTCTTCTCGGGCTCCGCCATTGGAATCGGAGCTTTCGGCTGTCGAAATCGTCTGTTTGCATCCAGACTTTCTATTTCCAAGTGTGCGGCGAACTGAGGGTTGAATATTTCAATATGAATGATCTTGGCATCATCAGGGTTCCAGAATCCCGGGCCGGGAGGGCAAGATCGATGAGGGAAAAAAACACTAGTCGAATTTCTTCCATAGACTGGACTGTGACGATACTGTACAGTTCTGTCCACATGTACGAGGATTAGTTGATTAGCTCCTAGAGTCTAGTCAGTCCAGCTTCCCAGGCAGCAACACAAATGCCACAAACGTGAAAGATAATTGCTCATGAATCCAGGCGCCGAAACTCGGCGCCGACCGCCCACAAGCCCTGAAGCTCAGCGGCTTAGAGGCTCATCCGACAGGCCAAAAATTGAAAGAAGACATAAACCAACCAACGCATCGTATCAAGCAGTCCATGACTGTCTCATGGAGGCACCTGGTCTGCTGCGAGGCCCTTACCGGAAGAAGCCTGCTGGATGTGCCTCAGTTCCCATGCACCGATGACCAGGTTTTGGGTTACAGATTTAGCACCAAGATCCCACGGCTTGGGAAGACGAGGGCTTTCAGATTGAAGCGTCGAAGCACAATGCTTCCAACATACTGACAATATGTCGAGCAGTTGCCAAACAAACTACAGAAATCATGCAGAAGTCACTGAGCGGACTCAAAAGCGGCGACCCAATAACCCCAGCAAAGAGTCGGTCAAGAATTCACTCCGAGTCTCGGCAGGCGCTGTGCAGCGGAACACAGCAAAACAATCGATTCTGGAGTGTGCAAGTTTTCTCCGAAATCCTCAGCCAGGTCCTAACAGGATGTTTTACCACCTTGGCTGGTAGAACTTGAGGCTTGTCAGTTCATGTGTGAGGATGATTACGGTGTAAATTTTCAGGCGTTTGGTGATTCGGATGGGTGGTAACACTTAGTCCTGAGTGGAAGAGTTGCTTGTGGACGATGTACTTGAACTCGCCACCTGCCATGTTTCGTGGCACTTTAGAATCTGCTGTCGGAATTGAATGCTAGCAATGCTATGCTCGGGTATTGCCTGGTATAGGAGCCTCTCGTCTCGAGTCAAGAAATACTTACATGTGGTCTCCGCACGCAACTCCGGAGGGGGAGAATACCACTTTCACTCCCTATCATCGCAGGGTTCACGCAGTTCGATCAATCTTCCACAAACCACTTACGCCCGGTGGCCTAGGTCACAAACTGCACGTTTAATCCTGGAATTCTGGATCTTATATCCAGAAGTCTGAGCTCTGAATCCTAAATCCGCGGCACCCGGCTCAAACACTGCAGTCGATCGACTACGTCCTGCACCTCGAAGCTCAATCCTTTCTGAAATTTTCTGAACTCCACCCTGCCAAATGGTCGTGAATTCTAAATTCTGGGCTACCTTCATGCTGAATCTTAATGGACAGACTAAGGGTGGCCTGGCACCTAAGCCTGAGGGTTTTGGAGGAATGGGGGAACTCAACAAAGTCCTCTGGGCTATGTGCGATACAACCCTAGAGCCCACACAGTATAAATCCCATGCTTCAATTCTGGCCTGAAGTGGAAGATGTTCTCGAAAGGAGAATCCACAAAGAGAGACCACTGATTCTCAGCTCAGAATCCCTGACTTCTGCGGAAGAGGCACAAAGCATCGAGGCCGGAACCAGGAATTTTCTCCTTGCCAAGGCCGTCGGCCGTCCGCTATGAAGAACACTACATCAACCATGACATGGTGCAGTCGCTAGGGTTGGTCGTTCAAGGCGACAGGTCTCTTGGGGTTCTTATTGCAATCAGAGTCTTGCTGCTCTCTGCCTCTGACATTACTGAGTATGGCTGGTGTTTGTTGCAGAGTGCTGGTCGCAATACATCGGCCTCTCAGTGTGTGTGTGTGTGATACTGATAAAACGTCATAGCGAGATACAGAAATTAAACTATACTCATATAGTCTATAGGAAATATACTATCATATCTGTAGTGTTACGTACAAAGGTACAAAGAGGGCATCAAAGCGGATTCGGCCGATGATGGGGTCACGACGACCAGAGTTGAAGAGGGAGGAATGTTTGGGATCACGACTTGCGCGGCTTGGGGTTTCATGTGGCTGCATGAATATCTTTCAACCATGCGACAGGCACAAGACCCTTGAAAACCGCAACGTAAACAGCCCTGAGGCTCTTAAGTTAAGGTAAAACCCCACCGCAGACCGATCTCTTATTCTGACTTGGAGGTGGAAGGAACCAAAGCAGCCAAGCACGACCCAAGTGCGAAAAGCTGTTTTTTGCCATAGCACGAGAGCCAAGACTAAACGTTTAGGTTCCAGTTTCAGTGTCCCTGAACTCCGACTATTTGCCGGGCATCTTCTCGATCTCCGGCAGCTCTGTGGAAGGGGACTTCTCCTCAGCGCTGCCGGTGTCTTCCCGTTTTCGGCGTAAGAGTTGTGGGCTAAGCTGGGACCACGAGTGTTAGGCATCCTACCAGTACTTGGGCATACCCTAGACTTATAAGCTTATCTCTAAAGTCAAACGGAATTTGCCCACTCCACTGGTCCTGTCGCCCTGGTAAACTGCTTTCAACTTGAGGGTTTTCGGGGGCTCAACAGCTCGAATACTCGATTCCTCTTTGGGGTTCCTCGAGTGCACAGAAAACGTCGCAAGGTCTGAGCAAGTGCTGAGCCCTCCAGGCTGAAGCCCCTGCAGACCGCCAGCTACTCCAAAGAGCCTTGAAACCCAAAACCCTTTAAACCCTAAACCCTGAAAAGGCTGGCAACTTGTCTCGCACGGAGAGGACTTTGTCGGGGCCTTGAGCCCGCGGAAAGCCAAAAGCCAAGTCGCGCAAATCACCGGCACGCGATCTGGGTACTTGGCCAAGATCCGGGAGGCCTCCACTGCTCCAAGAAATCTTGGCTTCGGTTGTCTGTAAAAGAGCTGAAGGATGGAGGAAGACGGGACTCGCATCTGGCGCCAGGTCGGCTCGGGATTGGAGCTTTCAAGTCCGGCCTCCTCGCTACGTGGGCTGAAGGAGTGTCTGCACTTGGTCACTAAAGCCTCCAAAGAATCCCAAATCCCCGAGACGCATGCTGCCCCTGAGAAACCTGCATCGAGACAAAAACTTCGCCGGCTGGAACACAGGAACAGTGTTTTAATGGAGCTTGATATGTAGAAGTCATAGGACATAGTGACCACGACCACGATGGAATTACTAGTCACGTACGAAGTGTTCCGACTCCTGTGTATTGAAAAAAGCTGACGAGGCCAGCCTCGGCAGCCCTCTTCTCGAAGGGGATCGACTCTTGAAGCGGGGCATAGGCGACATCGGCCATGGTGAACGAACCTTCGGACCGCATAGCAGAGCTAGCGAGCAGAGCACACTTCCTGGGGTGGGGTTCCTTGGAATCTTGCCGAAATCCTGCGGACATGACGCCGTAACTCCCCCCAGCACATTGTCACGGCTGAAACCCATACTGAACCCAGCAGATCTGGGAACATAGCAGGGCGTTTTTGGTTAGTAATGGTTAGTANNTACTAACCATTACTAACCAAAAACGCTGAATTCCAGAATGCAAACAAACGAAGCACGAAGGTATCATACATGCTCACAAAACTACATGCACACAAACAAAGCCACACACACACACACATGCAACCACACGTACGTATGTATGTACGTATGGACGTACCCATGTATGCATGTGTGCATGAATGCCTGCATGTATGTATGCTGGCATGCATGTAGCTGTGTGCATGTAAGATTGTATGAAAGCCTGTGAGTATATATGCGCGACATGCTGATTCCGCCCTTCCTTCTTCTCTTTCCTCTTCTACTCCTTGCTTTTACCTTGCTGCCAACGATGTCACACACGCCCACGAAAGTTTCATATTTTGCTTCCACTCTGCGCATACATACATACATACATACATACATACATACATACATATGTATGTATATGTGCATACGACAGCAAACCTGCACCCTGCAGGCGCACGACCACGAATGTTTCATGTACACGTTGAGAATCGAGCGCAGAGACACAGGGGGGGAGACACGAGAGATAGCGAAGGGCCCCATGGCACGGAATTGAAGCTGTTGCAAAATTGTTGAAGCTCAGTGGTGCAGGTTAAGGCTAAGGGCTTCGTCGGAGCAGAACCACAAGTGTTTCTAACGTGGTTCAAACAAAATATATTGGGGTATACGTTTATGCACAGCTGCCAGGATCTGGATTCACAAGTTCACAAATTGGGATCCCAACCGTCGCTTTAGGCCCGATTGCATGCCGAAAAAAGCGGATTTGAGTATTCTCAAGCCTCTGAACAGAGTATGCCACTGTGCGAGAGGAGCGGCGGAATCCAGCAGCAAAAGCTTCCCTGCACTTCGCTTCTGCGCGGTGTTCGTGACCCCCCAGCAGCACTCGAGCCGAAAAGCAGGTGTTGTGACAAGTTCGGATTGTTTACATGGGATGTCATGTCGTGTTTTTGTATATAACTGCTTGTCTTGCTGATTCACATGCGATCGCGGAACAGCAAAGAGCATAATCGAGAAATTGCAAGAGGAGGAACTTGTAGTTACAGTATTAGTACTGGCAATCAGCCCTGCAAGGTTTCAGCAACTGAGCCGGGGCGTGAGGCTAGCGCAAGGCTTAGCTTGTCTTGGCTTGGCATCTCTGCACTTTACGATCAGTCTGTTGCATCCTGCTTATGGGGGTGGGGTGGGGTACGTGGTGGGGGACGTGGACTGCTAGATTTGACGGTATTTCTGACAACTTCAGGCATGTATGCTTGAATGAGCTTAGAATGCTGAGCACTAGATGCTGCATCGGGCTTCAATGCCCAAGGCCCCACAGAGCATCTGCGCCTTTTGCACGATGAGCGTCTGCACCGAGTTGTGACACACCCTGCGGAGCAAGAGCGGGAGGATTGCGGCAAGAACAAAAATAGCTCGAAGGCACTTAGAATGATGCCAAGTATTTTCCCACTTGTCTTGCGGCACATCGTCAGTTGCAGGATGTGGGAAGCCGTGCTTACATGCTGCTGACGACGACGACAAGGCTCTAGTTGGCCATTGAGGCATGCTTGTATTTCAGGTGTTGGGTTTGGCGACAACGGTGCCCGGCCGTAGCAAACGCATGCATAGTTATGCGGGCCAACCATGACAAGCGCGCTTCGACCCGAGAAAATGCCCAGGAAATTGGCAACTGTATAATCGTGGCCGTGAGTTCCGTAACCCCGGCTTGCTATCTATGCATCCGGTACTTCTCAAACCACAGGCGCTCGCGCAAAACATCCATAAACCTCAGATCGTAAAACTTTAACCCGAACACACAAATGTTCAACCCGAGGGCCCTAGGGTGCGGGTAAAACCACACAGATTGAAATCGCGAGCTTTTGTGTCCTGGCCTCTCTGACTCTTGAACGGGGTGGGGGCCTTTGATGATCTCGAGCCCGGGCCCCGACCCCACCGGAAGCATTCCGAGGCTGCGGCATGGCTTTGTCCTTCCAAGCGAGCCTGATGGCGGCTTAAGAATGAAACCTTTTCAGGCTGGTGTCTCTCTTGAGCGGAGATGACAGCTTTCAAGATCGGGGCTTCTTCTGGGGCATCCTCTCCATGTTGATTTAACATGACACCCGATCTCTCGTGACGAGACCGAAAGACTGGAATACCTGTCTGAAAGATTGCGCTGCTGAATGCAACTCCTGGCGCTCGGATCAATCCCGCAAGCACGGGACATGCACTGCACTAAGGCCATCACAAGACTTCGAGCGCCTAGCCGACATGTCGAGATGGGCGCAAGAACGTGCATGGTGTACTCTTTCGGCTGCTTAGGCTAACACGGTATGAATGGCAACACCTCTGACAACCCTGCCCAGCATTTCACAGAGGCCAGCAGAGGGGAGCGAGAGAGAGATAGAGATCCTACTTCTACAGGCAACCTTGAATGTGAAAGCCCACCATCTCATGCCCGGGAGGTCAGCTACAAAGCTGCGGTAGTGCGCACCCGGTCCAAAGAAGTGGGGTCGCTGCGTCTCAGATCCATCCTCGGGTGGATTCGCTTCAGGTGGGTGGGGTTCTGTAGGGGCTCTGGGCTTGTGCAGAGATGAAAGGAAACACGAGTAGATTCTCAGGACTCAGTGCTGGTTTGACCTATCAGAATTGAGTTTCGGGCTCTGGGGTTTGGGCAGCATAGAAGCCTGGCAGGCTGGGGACTTTGTGGGACCTGCAGCAAGAGCCAGTGCTGCCTGACTGGGCATCTCCACACGGAGTCCTTCAAGGCTTCTTCGAACTCAGATGGAATCAAACCAAATGACAGGAAACACACGCGACGGCCGACAAGCTATTGTGGGCAGAGCTATAAAGCGCTTCTCGCGCTTCTGGTTCGGCGAAAGGCTGGCCAATAATTAGGACCGTCATGCCAGTATTCGACGACATTGACATGGACCGAAAGGATGTGAAAGGCGTCTAGAGTCAAGATAATCAGCCTCCCCTGGACTGAGCTGACCCGCTCCTGACAAGGGGGCCCCCGTGAACATTTGGGACGGAAGTTGGAAATGCCTCTGCTCTAGAGGCATCAGCGGCACCCCAAACTCCCAAACCATGTGACCATCAATATCAGCGGAATCTGGTTCGTCTGGCATGAAGTCTTGCTCGACGGTAAGAACACGAGAACATCCACAGGCAATTGTCCCAGTGCAACCTGCAATTTTGTCTTCTGCGCTGACCGCCTCCGTGCCCGAAAGTTCATCAAACCTCGGACATCTTGAAGGAAGGACTTGCATGGGCTTGGAAGTAGATCCAAGACCAAGACGTGACACTGCACGGCATACGTTAAACCGTGCATGCTTCGTCTCTCTCAGCAGCTGAAACTGTCGTTCCGATCAGTGATTCGAGGCAGCGATGAGCAGGTCGCGCACATAGCCTGGCAGCGCTTGGGGGCTCACCGGGGGCTCAGGGCACTGCCGTCTTTCCTTCACCAAAGTCCCCGGAAACAAGAAATGAGTCCCGGCACCGAAACCGAAGCGTCTTGACGGAAAGTTCTGGATGAAGGCACACTCTCCACGTGGACCCGGGAGCCTTCAAGACAGCAATTAAAACAAGCCTGAACCAAATCCGACTCGCCCACCGCTCATAAAAGCAAGCCGCCTCCAAGCTCCAGCTTTCCTGTCGGCGCAATAGTATAGTATGGATTAGAATTAGTACAGTACAGTACAGTACAGTAAAAAAACAGAATAGGACAACAAACATAAAATAATATGAACTAAGAATGCGCAGAGCGCTTGGTGGAAGGTTTCGACTGTAACCTTTGGCAAAGGCGCGGCAAGCCCGACAAGTACCCATAAGACCCGACACTCTTCGCTCTAACCCTCGATTTGTTTGAAGTTTTTAGGGTTACGGATGGGGAACTTGAGGTTTTGGACCTGTTTGAGCCTTCGGACTGGGCGTGCGGCAATTGCTGTGCTTGGAACCATGCAGCTGCTCTAGCTGTGCATCACCAGGACGAGATATGTTTCACTAAGCTAGACGCCTCGCTGGCCTGTCCGGTCGCTGGCTCTCGAGAACCCAACAGAAGATTGATGAGTTGGCCAACCTGACACCCTCAAAGCTCCCTCCAGGCTCTTCCGACACTCCTTCCTCCGACCCCAAGTCAGGGGCCCTCAGCCTCAAAACGCAGGGCCTAATCGTGAACCAAGGAAACCCTAAAAGTCAAAGGAAGGCCGACGGTTTCGGACCAGCGCAGTCTTGCCAGCAAGCGGCTCACTTCCACCCACCTCCTGCAGCTATGGACAATATTGCACGATTCCGCTTAACCTTACTCTCGTCATAAACCGAAACTCAAGCCCTGAACCAAACCTGAAACCCAACATAATTCTGCTCGCTCTGGGCGGACTCGGGTCTGAGTCTGGGACCTGGCCTTCACAACTTGTTCTGGGACTCTTCTTTTCTTATTACTTCCTACAAGTAAGATACTAGTACTTCGAAACTCCACACCTTTTTTTAATCGTTGTCGATCCGTGCCATTTGGGCCATAATAGACGTCTTGTTTAGTGAGCGGGACGAAACATGTAAAACACCCGGTGCCACTACAACCCCTCACAAGCATGTAGTTCATGTAATGCTAGTGGTAGCTCAAACTGCTTCCCTTTAGGATATTGACTGTATATATATATACATATATATATACACACATACAGTTATATCTATCTATCTGTCCATCTATCCATTTATCCATCTATCTATCTATCTTTCTAGTCTGTCTATCTATCTATCTATCTACCTATCACACACACATATTTATATATATATATATACATACATACATATATATATGTATATATATATATATTCTTTTATTTATTTATGTTTACAGACATATATATATATATATATATTTATTTATTTGTTTACTTACTTACTTATTTACTTATTTATTATACTCACACATACATGCGGGTCCATATGCGACATATGCACCACCTCGGCTTGGAACTCTCAGTTCGGCTCCTTTGTTTAACGGCGTCCATGTGCGCTGTGAGTACCACAGACCGACGGCTTCGGTTCCCGGATCTATTTGACGAGCCGACCCTCATTTAAACCAACCCTAAAACCTAGAACGTTCTGAATCCAGCACAGTCCGTCGAACCTAACCCTCAAATGCATGCAAATGCATATGCAGCTACAGCTACATCACTCCCTCCATGGCTGGTCCTTGCATCTGCGAAGAGCTGCTGAACCCGGAGGTCCTGTCAAGGCCAGGTCTAGGCACCAAAGCGACAGACAGCACTCCTTCCACAATTGGGGCCTGCAGGGGCAGAGTAATTAAGCGCTACAACACCGCCGCAATAGCTTTCAACTCGATACCTTGACACTGAAAACACACGTGAAGGACAACGGGATTGTGTGAGGAGCAAAACTTGCTTCCTGGTCCGGGACTTTCGCGCAATGATGCCCAGAAGCATGGTCATACCTTTCAGGGCTTAGGGCTTGCGCTTGTTCCACGAAACCTTAAACTTACCAAGCCGTGAACGAGTGTGGGTCAGGGTTGGACAAGCAGCCGCGCAAAGAGTTTTCTGATAGGGTCCTGGAACCTCCTGCAACAGGGCATTTAAAATGAGGGGCGTCATAAACTTCATAGGGTTGCGGGGGTATACAACATGATGACTATATAGGAGCTATACAGCGACTATAAGGGCCAGGGGATACTATCAGTAATTGATCAACACCTATACTACCACCAAAATCTTTAGTGCAGGGTTTGCTGCTGCCCGCACCACTTAGGGTGTCATTATACGACTTACCATTGCTCACACCTTACCGACTCGGGCTCCCCTACTATTGACAAAGTCCAGTGCAGCCCCCTCCCGACCCGATCTAGAGTCCAGCCCTTGTCTTTCGGGCGATTCATTTTCAGCACTCACAACTGGGACAAGCCTGGCGAGGAGGTTTTTCGCAGGTCTGGGGTTAGGCTGCCTCTTGCCAAGACGCAAACACAAACTCGTATGTGAACGTGGCTAGATAGATGGAGACAGACAAATAGAGAAAGAGATTGAGATTGACAGACAGAGACAGACGGATGGCCAGAGAAATAGATAATCCAGACAGTCTATCTCTCTCCCTCCCTCTCGCGTTCTCGAGGTTCGGGCAACAACCAGCGCTACAGACACGCACAGCTACAAATCGCCACATCATAGACGCTCTGTGTGTGCATTTTGCGAGTTCTCTCCCTCTATATCTCTCGTCTTCCACAGGGCATAGGGGGTGTGCGAAACCCCAGGGCCCCCCAGTAAGGGGCGTGAACAGTTCGCACCGGTCGGTCCCCCCTCCATCTCTCTCTCTCTCTCTCTCTCTCGCTCTATTTCTTTCTTTTCTGCCGGGCTTAGGGTCTTCTAGCGGCCTGCAGGCCATTGGCCAAGCCGACCACCCATTGTGTCAATAAGTGGATGGCTCTCGCTCTCTTTGTCTCTCTCTCCTCGGTCTCAGCGCGTGCCAACTCTGAAATTCGTGCAGCGTTGCACACTTCTGTCCAGCCAGGGTTGCCGATTCTCTCGGGGCTTCAGAGGCTGAAGGCCTGAAACTAAGCATCCTGCGTTGTTGAAACTTGGGCGTAAGTACTAGACTTGGGTCACAGCGCTGACCGCTGCCCTTCCAAGTGCACAACCTAAAAAATGATCACGAGCTCTGTTGGCCGAGCCACTTGTAGTAATATCCCGAACCGCAGAGGCATTGACCCAGTATGCTGATCTTGCCCTGAGTATGGACAGTCTTGCAACAAATCTGTGACCTCCAACCAGCAGGCTTTGGCAAGCAACAGCATGCCAAGAAGAGCCCCTTAAAAGGCTCACGCAAGCCTCAAGCGCAACTTCGACATCTGAAACCAGCTACACATCGCCGTGATGGCACGAAGGAGCCCCAGGTCGAATCAAAGCTTACGAACCACCGGGCCCGCAGCACTAGCTGCATTCAAGTCTCTCTGGATGTCTTGTCGAGGTATTTCAGAGGCCATTCAAAAATCTGAGTTGCAGCCCAGGCACATGTTCAAACTTCGTCGCTTTACCATTCCTTCACAGGACTCTTGCTTTTTTCCACAGCCGTGCTGCATCTGAGCAGCAACTTTCTCATATGGAGAAACTGTTTTTTTTCAAGATGCTCACCGCACCTCTTTGGCAAACACTGGCGCCAAGGTGCAATAAGAGCACTGGCGGCAATGTGTGAGCCCATACAGTACCAGTAGCAGTGCTGGTACTGTCGGTGCTGGTAGCGGTAGCGATAGTGGCAGTGGTTTTTAGTAGTCGTCGTCGCAGTCGTGGTCGGTGGTCGTGGTGGTATTGGTGGCGTTTTCAGTTGTCACCGACCTAGCGCACCTGCCGCAGCTCCACGGGGCAACTGGTCAAACTAACTGGAAATGCACTCAATTGGACTTTCAACATGACAAGACTCAGGCTTTTAAGCAAAAAACAACCCCTAAGTTCAGAAGTAGTAGTAGTGGTGGTGGTGGTTGTGGTGGCGGTGGTGGTGGTGGTAGTAGTAGTAGTAGTAGTAGTAATGAGTAGCAGCAGCAGTAGTAGCAGTAGCAGTAGCAGTAGCAGTAGCACTAGCAGTAGTAGTAGTAGTAGCAGCGGTCGTCGTCGTCGTCGTAGTAGTAGTAGTAGTAGTAGTATAGTAGTATAGTAGTATAGTCGTAGCAGTAGTAGTAGTAGTAGTAGTAGCAGCAGCAGCAGTAGTAGTAGTTGTTGTTGTTGTAGTTGTTGTTGTTGTGGTAGTCGTAGTAGTGGTAGTGGTAGTCGTAGTAGTAGTAATAGTAGTAGTAATAGCAGTAGTAGTAGTCGTCGTCGTCGTAGTAGCAGTAGCAGTAGCAGCAGTAGCAGTAGTAGCAGCAGCAGCAGCAGTAGTAGTAGCAGTAGTTGTTGTTGTTGTCGTAGTCGTAGTAGTCGTAATAATAATAACTAATAGAAATTGAAATAGTAGGAGCTCCCGAGGTAGTAGTAGGAGGAGGACTGGGAGCAGTCTTGTACTAGTAGCAGTGGCAGTAGTAGCAGTAGTAGCCGTAGCAGTGGTGGTGGTGGTGGTGGTGGTGGTGGTGGTGGTGGAGGTGGCGGTGGTGGTGGCGGTTGCTGCTACTGCTCCTCCTGATGTTGTTATTGCTGGTTCTCGATGTTGCTGTGGTTCCTGCTGCTAGGGACCCAGTTAGGTGTCGAACTTCACAAAAACAGTGAGGCTTCTGAACAGCGTGCAGTCGAGAATTGCAGGCGGATCCCCAACCACGCTTTCCCCACAGAAGAGAAGGGCCAAACAGTGGAATTTTGCAACCCATAGTCACACAAAAAGAAGGGCCGAGACTACCAATCCACATCCAAGCCTTGCCTGTTCGAATTTCCGAATCGTGAGTTTTTACCCCAAACCTGCAACTTTACATCCTGGCTGGCGAGTTTCTTGGACCTGCCCCACGGAAGGACATTGCATTCAGCATTCTCCAACTGGCACGATCCCCTGCCGAGAATTCGGATGCTGAGGGTGTACGGCTCGTGTTCCCGCGTTACAAACCTTCTCGGATGATCCGGCCAAGCCCGTCGTCAGAGTGAGAGTGTCCCAGGGCTGCTTCAACATATCGGCTTGGGGCTGGCGTAGGGCCTGTTGGTGTCGCAACCGGATTCCCGAACCGAAAGGTGAGGACTTACGCCGTTGGGACCTTTCATGTCCCAGTCGAAAAATTATACTGCCTGCCAGCATAGGGAACATATTGTGAGCAACGGAGGGCAGAAGCAGCATCAGGTACATGCGTTGGGCTTGCATTCGACAGCTTTCCACAACACACACGTGCAATTGTCAAGGTCATCCTGTCTGTCTCTTCTTCTCGACAGCGCGAACCTCTGTCTTCTGGTTACCACCTGACTTGAAACAAAAGGTAGCTCGCGCTCATCGAATGCCCGAGCCCTTCCGCTGTCTCAAAGCCACAACTACATGCACACAGCTCGAACCTCTGGAACTTGTGACAGAAGCCGAAAGGATTGCCACTCTTCTCGTTCATCTTAAGCCTGAGCTCAGGTGCGTAGGATTCGCAGGACAGCCCGAGAAGTATGGCATGTCGGCAAAACAGCACTGGCCGGCATTGAATGGCCGTCATCACAGGTTAGTCTCCATTGGCAGACATGTGGCTTGTTACGGTTTCACGAACTCTCCTTGAAAATGAGTTGGGCTGCCAAGACACTTGTCGTACACATCGTGTGCAGTGCACTGGTCATGCCTGAAAGGTTTGGATTTGGTGTGGGTGAGGACCGGATGTGGCGGCTTCGGCTGGTGAGCGTGGGAACCACTGCCTAGTGCTCGATAATAGTCGACTGTGCAAAAGCAACATCAGCGTGTTGGTGTACAATTTGTGTACAATGTACAAGGGCCCAACACCTTCGTCGAAAGAGTCTTGTCGACCCAATCTGTGCGACACCCAGACGTGTGAGCTCTTCCGATCAGTGGGCTCGGGTCTGAAGAGTCCCTTTCCGCATCAGGTTTTGTGGCTTGTTTTTCCTCTGTCGCATGGCGGAGTTTGTGGGCTTATACAGCTCCTGGACGTTAGGGATGCCGTGCTGTTTTCCGACGAGCAGCACCTCGAACTAGAGCGTACGGCAAAGATGCTCGATCGTTGGTACTACTTGGTACCACGTCGGAACACGTGAACAAGAGCTTCTACATAAACCCGAACTGCCAGAAAACGACCCGGCTTATGGCTGCATATGCAACCCCTTCTTCGTCTAAGCAGCTCGATGTCCTCATTCATGTATCTATAACTTTATTATACAACTGGCAAACAGCGGAAAGAAGCAACAGCCGCTTGGACCAGACTTACCTGTGCCCCATGCAGGACTGCTTCGTTCAGGTTTTCTCAATGAAAGGATGCCCGGGACGGTGGAACAGGTGCTCGTCTGATAACATCGTCCTTGCCTGCAACCACACCGAAAAATAAAATGAAAACGCAGCAAAGATGCGCCATGTGCAATTGCCTGCACAGGGCTCGTGCCGACTGTTCTGAGTGAAGGCCCCACCAGATGAGGAAGTCTTCAAACCCTTGGCTGAGGTTCAACTCAGGCGAGCTCTGAAAAGGAATTGCAGGAAGAGTCTCTGCGGCCAGGCTAACCTTGCTATGCTGCTAAAGCTAGCGGAATCTAACGTCAAGGGGAAACGTCTGTAAGGTGTAAACCGCAAGAAGCAGCAGCAACCCACAGCATTAACCATCGTCTACAAGGCGAGTGGCGAAGCCAGCCGGCACCCTGAGGACCTTAGCATTCCGGGAGAGGCTTTCGTGGCTCAGGCTGCCCTGGTGGGCATGCGATACCAACAGTCTATGCGTTCTTACTGTTCCGTGTGCTGGGCCTGCTGCAGAATGAAGCCGCGACAGGACATACATTTTCGCAACTTCAGGAAGTCACTTTCATGGCCCTTGCTGGTGCAAGTCAAGCTTGAAGGCTAAACTGCAGTGAACAAACGCAGCCTGTCACCCGCAAAGTACTGCCTGCTTGTGAAAGCATAACACATGGCACAGTGATGTCGGCAGCAGATTCTGCGTTTTAGCCACCGTATCTTGCTGATTGCTTATGAAAGATTTCGGTGAACCACACAGCCACCGACAGCCACCTGTCTAAGCTACAAATTTTCGGTGCGGTACATGTGAGCCTTTGGTAAGCATCAGCCGACCTTTCCGGCACCAGCTCTCGGTTGAATAGAAACCAAGACCCGGAAGTCTGAGATTTGGATCACCATTCGTACTCGATCGCTGAAAATAATTCGCTAAGACTGAACCTGCGCGCGACCCCCCAAAAGCAACACCACCACGCTGGATTCAGGATTTTTGCGATTCATGCCTCTGCGGTCTGCTGCACTCACTGTGTCTGATTCAGAATCACCGGTGTGTAAGAGAGCGCTTGCCACACCATCTATGGAAAGGAGGCTTCAATCATCTTCAATATACGATTTGGATTGAATATGGACGGGTGGAGAAAGACAGGAACGGCGAGGCTTAGCATGGCTAGGACTAAGACATATTAAATAGCCTCAGGAAATGCTCGTCGAAGCTTCAGCGATTTTCTCAGAGACACACCTTTGTTGTTGATGTGCACGAAGAGAGGGAGGTCTGTGAATTTCAAAAGCATACTGGCGATTCAGGCGTGGCTACATGTTTAGAGGGACCTGAAGTGGTGGCAATTGTAGCTGCTTATAACTTGTAGAAAGTACTCGCTCAAGAAATCTCGACAAAACCTTGTAGCTCCCTTGTAAAGAGCCCCTATATGAAACTTGAACGAAACCCTAAAAATCCCTCGTAAAGCCTCCATAAGACTATTCCGCGAAAGCAAACTTGCCCTTACATCTCATGTGGGCGTATGCTACTGTAGGCCCCGATTTGCTCCGGCGACGATTTTTAAATACCCGGACATCTAAACAGGCTGGAAGGGTGGAGAGCTGGAACGGACTTAAACAGATGTCCGATACTACCTCGATCTGTTTGGATCTTGGGTTGGCCGTCCCCCGCATATTTTACAATTATCACCGTATATTATTGAGGCCACTGTAGGCCCAGATGTAAAATCCATAAAAGCCTTTACACAACCTCGTGAAACCTTTCTGAAACCCTGCCATGACACTTTTTCGAAACCCCATAACTATAACGTCTATACATTCTGGTCTTCTCATAAAGACCCCCTTACTGACCGCCTGGGAATTCCAAGCTGCCCGTGATGTTGGCGGCTCCCCGAGGTGAAAGGCTGAAATCGTCCAGGGAGGCGAACCTTCAAAAGGGCCGTGTAGCGCGTAGGATGTTCATTGTACCTGCTTCTCTGTCCTCGAGTTGTTGATGCCTTCGGGTGCCGTTGCTGTTAATGTTGTTCTTTTGCTCGTTTGGTGTTCAAAACGCACGTTTTGGATGCTTATTCTGCGGATGTCGTGCTGGAAGTGCTGTCTGCGCTGCGGTTTGCAGAGGCTTGTGCTGTTTCTCATGCATGCAGAAGTTTTGACTTGTTCAAGTCTTTCCTGCTGACAGGTTCCGAGCTCATCACTTCCATGGCCCAACCATGATGAAGTCGGGGTCTAATGTGTTCAGAGCATCCATACCATGATCGTCCGTGGTCTAACCCGATCGGAGTTCAGAGCATCCATGGCCCAACCATGAAGACGTTGATGGTCTAATCCTTTCTGAGCTCACCATGACCCAACCATGACTTCCAGCATCCATCGCTCAACTGTCGTAATTTCCATGGTCCAATCCGCTCTGTGTTTAGAGCATCGATGACCAAACCATGATGAAGTCCATGGTTAATCCGTTATGAGTTCACCATGGCCCAACCATGATGCCGTCCATCTATGGCCCAACCATGATGACGTTCATGGTCTAATCCGTTCTGAGTTCTGTGCGGGCATGGCGAACGAATTGCCGATCTCATAAAAGATATAGGTAGCATACAGTGTGGCTCAAAGTTTCGGTAGTGGCCACCGGCTCTTGGTTCCGAAAGCTGACATAGGCTTCGGAGTCCATGCCAGAAAGGACAGGCAACAAGTAACAAGGGGAGGCACAGCGCCAACCTACCTCCGAAGAACCATGGTGCTGCAAAACCCAATCAGGAAAACCAAGGCACCCTGAACACCAAACTTGAGGCAAGAGATGCAGGGGATTGCTGGAAGCGGCTGTGGAGCCTGGCATTGACGACCTTGAGGTTCTCCAACTCCTGTGTACCATGGTTGGGGTTTATAGGGTTGACAGTCTCACTCGGACTCCCAACCACTTCAGGCACTCGTCGGCACGAAACTACACTGAGTGGGATAGGTCGTGGTTTCATGGTTACAATCCTCGTGCTAGAGTCAGGGCTCGCTATGGCACGACCCTCGATTCTGAGGCACAGGGCTTCTGCGGTTTGAAGCCTTCGAACTTCTGCAAACACGAAGAAGAAAAGGGCAGAGCCTCAGGAGTTCTCTAAGTTCTGTGTCCTAACCCACACGAACTTTGGAGTGGGACCTGGCCTACAGTTTGACAGCGGTCCGATGCCACATCGAGCTCTGACAAGCTAACATCATCTGATACCATGTCTGCAAAGCGTCCTTAGTTACTTAGTGAAACATTTCCGTACTGTGTTGCCTTCATGACTCAACATAAGACTGGAAGACAAGACGACTGAACCCGAGCTGTGAGACTTAATCCCACCTGGTACAGCTTCTTGAACTCTGCCGAGTGGGGAATCTCTGATCGCCTCAGCAGGCATCTCTTCTAGACTCTGTAGACTTCAAGTCGGGCGCGTCAGAGATGCCGTGTTGCTGTGGTCGTCCTCTGCGCTACAGAAGCAAGGGACCCGAGCTTAGATTGTTATACTCTTTGCCTCTGGCCGACTGTGTTAAGCTCCAAAGTCCAGCTTTGACCGGCCCTGGGTCTCCAAAGACCCCTCTGCTCGGAGGTTTTTAGGCCCAGAACCTCTAGGAACCGACAAGTTTCCAAGAAAATTGTGAGCCTCGGATCGCAGTTTTCGACTCGCACACTCGCTCAAGCTAGGCAAGGATCCACAAGTCTCCGCGATTGCGACCTGTACTACAGCAGCATGTTGGATATGCCGGGTAATTACACTCCAGCACTAAAAGGTATCGAAATACCTGCATAAATACGATAAAGCGGCAGCTAGCATGACAGCATGCTGGTACATGCTGGCCGCCATTTGTGATGTCGAATCACATCCCTTGTTACATGTCTAACATTGTTGAACCCTCCCTGAGTTCAGGATGCATCAGTTATTTCCACCGTCAAGTAGCAGAAGGCCCAACTTACAAAGGTCCACACCTCGATGCTCACGTCCAACCAGCGTCAACGACAACGCCCTCGAGCTGGAAACCCAACCGGAACCCAGCCGGGGCCCAAGCAAGTTTTGCACATCCATGGCCAATTCCAACTTGTTCAGGTGTTCCTCCAAAGTTTCAAGGGCCTCGAAAGCCTGCGTGCGGGAGAAAGCTCGTTTGCTCTGGCATGTTTGGAATTCGGAGGATCCTCGACCGAGATTCTTAGGCATTACCGGTGGCTGTCCGCTTGTTTCAGTGCGGATGCCTATTTTATGCATAGTATCACAGCCGGAAGACCTATGCGTCTGATCTTGTGAGTGCCACAGTTCGAGTGCAGCATTGGGCGGAACTCTTCAGCACTCTCATGAGAAGTTCGGAGCCCTCGGGGCGGATGACGGCGGATGCAGTAAACTCGCGAATTACCGGCCAGGCACGTTTGGGGCAAAGCTTTGAAGCCTGCTCACTATACGGTGTCGCAACGTGTGTGCTGACAGACTGGTCGGGACAAAAGAAAAGAACGATGGGATCAGATGGCCCTGAACTGGTACTGTATGGACTGCAAAAGCATCAGATGCCAGTTGGGGAAGAATTCTGACGAATTATACCATTCAGGGCCTATATATAACGTATTAGCGCTCCAGCGCTAATACGAGAACAAAGGCTGTGCTTCGTCTGGCTATACGGCTACTGCCTCAGGGAAAAATGGCGCTCTGATCTTCCTTTTGAGCTGCCAGCTCCACCAAAGCAGCGACAAAACTCTCCTCGCCCACGGGCTCGTCCAACGACTTTGCCTGTGTGCTAATTATCGAATTCACACCCCGGCTGAACCATGAGGCTGCCTTTTAGTACGTTATGGTAGGATATCTTGACTATACTGAAGTTCTCGAAAGACTACCAACTGCGCCAAGCGTCAGCATGGCAGCTGCCGCATTTGCTGTTGACACACGTGGTACAAGCCGCACCATTGGCATTGGCGGCGCAACCCGAGAGGCATCTCTTGATGGTGCAGCTGATCTTACGACCGAAACAGCTGGCACATCCGGGCGAGACGCCCTTTCCGGTAAGGCATGTAGCTGCGCAGCTTGCTTGGTTGCTGGAGGAGTAGCATTGGGTGCCACATGTCTTCATCAAGGCTTGGACCTCAAAGCAACCGCTGCGAGTAGAAGGCTCTTCCAACTCGACCGTTGAGTTGGCCGTGGCCGTGGCCTGGGCTGCCCCGGCAAAGACTTCCATGAGCGCTTCGAGAGTCGAGGCGTTGTCGGCACCCTCAGGCTCAGACTCGCCAGAGCGAGCTCGGCTGCAAAGACCACAGTTCGAACTGATGCAAGTCGTGCAGATCGGCTTGTTGAAGCCGGATGTGCAAGAGCCCAGGCATGAGCTGACACCGCAGGTAAAGCCCCTGCCCAAGCAAGAAGCGCATGAAGAAGAGACGCCCTGGCCGATGAGGCAGTTGGAGACACAAGTGGCCTTGCCGGCTCCGGGAACACCGAAGCAACGCCCACCGCAGCTCTGCAGTTTGGGCTTGTTGTCAAACAGGCAGTGTCCACAAACCTGGAAGATCAGAATGTTGAACAATGTGACCTGAATGGCGGACCCCATTGCGATGCTCTTGGCTAGCAAATCAACGGCACGCGTGCTGTTTTCTTGGGCAAAGAGCTCCAGTCAGCCTGACAGGTCCACGTCCAATACAGCCTTGCTGTGGTTCACGACTGCGATAAATGTGCATCGCTTGCCCTGTGATTCTTTGCAGATGTGCCTTTGGCCCACTGCCCTCCAACGAATGAATCTGAAGACTTTGCCAGCGACATCACACGAACCTTAGCAATGAAAGCATTCCGAAGGCCTCTTGGAGGATCTCGGCCGCATAAACGAAAACGCTGTGTGGCTCTGTGGAGCAGGCACCTGACGGCCAAAATCTCACGATTCAGTTTCGTCGGATAGAACGAGTGAACGTGAAATTGAGAATGAAGGCTACGTCATGCAGCATTTGCAGTCTTGAAGCCGCAGACCAGGCTCTCTACGCAGCATGATGTGTAATCCTTGCGTGAGCTATATATTCGCGGACGGGGTGGCCAGACTCTTACCTACAGCTTGTGCTTACCTCGGTCCAAACATCTATAACCTAAGCCACAATCTAAACCACCTTAGTTAACTACCTTTAACCTCAAACCAGGACTTTTTCAGACCTGCTACCTAACCTCAAACCGGGACACCGTACCCAAAGTCCTTAGCCGAGTTTGGGTTAGGGCCAGGGTCTGGGTACCTTCGAAGCCCTGCCGATTTTCGGGCCAGTCGTTGGCGTATGCCAGAAAAATGAAGAAGAAGTCCTCGGCTTTGCACAAGTCTGACAGGCCAAACGAGGTCTCGAGGTCGCAGAGGCTTCAGGCTTTGAGATTTGGGCATCCTCACACTCGGTGGCGTGGTCGCTTTCGGGGGGCCGTCAGGCAGGTGCGGCTTCTGGGAATTCGCATGTAAGGCCGAGGTCTCGGCTACGAGCTTTAGTGCTGACCGGACCCCCAAACCGCTAAGTCTAGATCCGTCGGCGGAAATCCTGAACTCTCCTGGGCCCTTGGAGGTCAAACCAGGGAACCTCTGCCTCTGCCGCACCCAGCCTAAGAAGACTCGCTGTGTGAGTGTCTGAGCGCGATTGGAGAGACTGCACAGAGTCAGGCACAGCTCATTTTGACTCTTCTGTGGACTGTGGCGGCCTCACCAAACAAGAAAGACAAGATGGAAGCTTGCAAGACCACAGTTAAGTATAGATGTGGGGGAAGGTGTACTTGCGCTTCATCGAGGAAACTCAAAAGCACTGACCCCTCGGAGCATCAACGGAAGAGTGTTGCTCTCTTGGCTTCTTCATGTTTCTTCATTTGAGCAAGAGGCGGTAATGATGGGAAATGTGCCCAAGTGCTGGAGCGTCCGCAGGGCTGTAACAGCTACATGCATCTTAACCTCAGTGTTTCGGGGCAGTTGGCGGTTTCCAAACGACTGCGAGATCCCGCGCTGCTATGGGTCTCAGTGCAGAACCCAGCGCTGCAGGATATCGCAAGGACCCAACTCTACAGAACTATGTTCGTGGGATCTACTTGCCGCGAGTCTTTGGCATGACCTGCTGTTCAGGCTCTTGAATGTGACGACGAAGTTTTTGAGACTTGTGCCCAGACAGTACTTCCGGGCAAGGCTCACCACCCTAAAGCCGACCACGGAAGCACCTAAACCTGCAGTATCCTGTGGTGCAGTGTCTCATTGTGAAGTCTACACAGGGAGAGAGAAAGCAAGTGTCCCGCATATGGCATACATGTGCATAGAAGCCACTATCTTCATCCGTGTGCATGCGACGTGTGCAGTAGTCACCCAGCAAAGGCACGCTCTCGCAGTCCTTGCACGTCACCTTCGGGATGTGCCAACGGAGCTGCGAGCTATCGTTGAAGCAGTCAATGTGCATAGCTCCTTTGGCTAACCTGACGGAGATGCACGCCGCAATGGCATGCATCGGAGAGCCAGAATGTAGGGCTAAAGTATGCTCAGCCTGTCTTAATTCGGGCTTGTCGACGAGTGCGATTAACTGATCTACTTCCAGCATGACTGCTGGAAGCATCTGCCTCGTTGAAACGTAAATAGATATATAGCCAACCGCCAGCAAACAAACAAACACACACACACACACGCACACACAAAAACAAATAACAAACAGGAAACCTAGATAGACACACGCAGAGACAAACAGCGACGCACGTGCAGGCGTGCACGCACACACGCACACATGCCGTAAATATCCGTAATTATATAGGCCATAAACATAATTAAAATATGTCTATATATATATAGACGCAACAGATGCTTCTACAGATTCTAAACATGGAGACAGAATGAGACAAAGATCGGTACAAAACCTCCGAAGAACTCCTGGGAAACCTGGTCGAAAATAGCAGAGGCGACTCCTCATATCATTAAGCTCTTCGGCTGAGTCTCGAAGAGCCGACGTCAAAGCCCACAGGACCAGTATATAGACCCAAACTCAAGCTCCAGCCGGCATAGATGTAGGTGCCTGCAGGGCTTTTTTCAGCACATCGAAAAGGTGTTCGAATCTTCTGAATGCCAAGGGATCGGCAGGATTATGGCACACTGTCCATCCTCACAAGTTGTCATGTTATTCAAGCTCGGTTTCGCAACGGTTCGCGCTTCTACAGCAGACTGCATGATCTGGCGTCTCGTACTTCATGGCTGCTTCAGTTGTACATTGTGGATTCTCAGGAATGTAGCCAATGTAGCCATGCATGCTAGTTGGTTTGCTCCAGCTAAGGGTTACTAGTGACTTACTAGTGTGAGAACTGAACAACGGATATATAACAGAATGCAACAAAATATGATATAAAGGGTCTATACAGGGATTGGGATGCAGCTTTTGCTGCACACAGCTTCAAGAATTGGCGCGAGTTTCATTGAGGGCATAGGACTTAGGATATGCGGGTTCAGAAACTCACATGAGGAAGATTGATGAAGAAAGCACTTCTATCAGGTCTCAGCTGAACACATGCCATGCGCAAGCCTCTGGCTTGCGAAGGCTTTCAAGTCGGTTTTCTACAGTCAGAGCTACCAGGCTAATGCTCAGAGCCGGACCTCATCTTCGCAAACCGATGCCACTCTGTGTAAAGCGAGTCCTCATGAACAACTTCCCCGATGCGCTATTCACCTGCGAATCTCACCCTTTCACAATAAGGCAATGAAAAGGGGGCCAAACAGACGTAGAATTGCGGCACTTCTGGTAAGCTAACAAATCAAAGCACAGCCTGGGGTACCTGGTTCGCTGAGGTGGCGTGCGAGTATTTCCTTGCCTGTCAACTGAGTTGAACCTGTGTGAGGTATGGCTGCTTACTACCATCCCGACACACACATGGACAACCCAGATACTTAAATAACTCACCAGAAGCTTCAAATACAATCAACGAGACGCAAAGATACAAACCTACCTCATCCCTTTTCCGAAGCTTCGGTTCTCGCACCCTGGCCGTAAGCCTGGATCTCGCGTAAGAGGCTTGTACGGTGGGCCGCCCAAGCGCTCATCTCCATCGATCTGAGCACGTTGGGACGGGTTCTGCATGAGGATTGCGACGTCTTTCGGACTCGTCAGGGAAGTTGTGGTGGCGCATGGCCGCTAGAGGAGGCACGGGTCCAGGAGTCATAGACGGCGATCCACCACCAAAGCAATCAAGAATTCTGAAAGGTAGCTCACAACTTCCCAGAAGCGAGATGAAACGTATGAACCCTGAAAGCACACCTAAGGGTTAGGGCCGTTAGGATCGCTGAGGACCCCTGGCGCACTTTGCACCCAAAGTTTGCTGCCAGTATGTGAAAGCATTGTACCAGGATTCCGTGGACTATCAATTGAGCTTGCTGGGAGTCCCTGACAACAAGGGCACATCGACGGGAACCATTTGGAAACACACGTTCAAGCTGCAACACACGCCGCGCCCAGTTGCTAAGTTCACTCTGGCTCCTAGTTACTTGAGCCTCTGTCAGTGTCTCAGTGGGTCCCGTGCAGCAGACCATCACCACAAGGCTCATCCCTGGTCTCCGAGTGTTGAGATTGGACATCTTCCCTCCTATGCCCTATGCCCGTGACATCCTAAGCTGCGGAGCATCAAATGGAGGAGCTCCACATACTATCCCCTTCTCCAGACCCCACCAAGCCCTGCCAGACTCTGAAGGCCCCAACCCTGGTTACAAGGCCTTAACTAAGCTGACTGTACAACAAAGGTACAAGCAACTACACTTGGACACCGAACACTTCAACCTCAAGTCTAGCCGGACCTCGAGCCAGAATGATCTTGCCGAAAAAAGCCCTAAAAGCCTATACCTCACCCTCCCACTTCATCTGCAAAGCCTCGTAGGTGATGGCCAAACCGAACGATGCCACAGGTATGGGAAAAGGAATCGAAGCGCTCACTGCTGCGAAGATGCTGGGGCCTGGGTTTATGTTACATGATGTAAGGCTTGGGTTTCAGGGGTGTTCATTTTTGGGGATTGGGGCCTCATCACACTCGTGTGGCTACGGTTTCCGGGTTCCCTAAGTGTTTACATTCATTTCAAATCTTATACAGCTACTAGTATGTGGTTAAACATTGCGGTCATGAATAACTTCCCCCACCGCGCAAAGACTAGCCACCCTGCAATTTTTAGGAGTGTTCGGGGGGGCCCAAAAACCCTCCCCCCAAAAAAAACTGGTCTTGGGGCTGGATCCGGCTGCCGGAACTAAGGTCATGCGGGGTTGCGGTTAATGAACGTGGGCAGTGAGCAACATGCTGGTGTCGTCCCAGGCTCAGGGGTGGGGTTAGCGTGTGATCCTCAACACTGTGATTCCCCAATTCAAAACCTGCACTTAGGGCAAGTTCATAAGGCCACAAGAATCGCAGCTTTGCAACTTGGTTTTTGCTCTGGTGACACGCCATTCCAGTGCACGTGCCGCTGAACCAGGCTTCGGCAGCAAATTGTTGAGGGCTCGTTTTTGCTTGAAGTTGTAAATGTTACGTCGGCAACTTTGTTGGTAAGTGAGCCAGGAACTTTTCCATCGAACCTTCTGAGTCCTTGACAGGATGCATCAAACGACAATCAAGGCCCGACAGATGCCCTTGCACATCCTCCAGCTAAGAACGTCAGTTTGGAAGATTCCCGCAAGCCCATGCAATGCGAGCTGTTTAGTACTTATAAGTTATCAGACGTCATGCCGACTTCCGAAAGGAGCCTTGCAACATGAACGCCTCAACAGTTGCATCGTGGCGGCCTGGGCCATAGTCCCCAAGCGATTGGTTCAAAGCCCTGGCGCCCTGGCACGGAGACAGGGCCTAGTCAGTAGATGTAAGTAAGGGGGGGTGCTTGCGAATGGCGGCTTTGTGTGCAGGCGTCCTGAAGATTGTCAGGAGCGTCGTCACAGCTCTCGGTCAAGTTCAGTGTCGGGTTTGATCAGGATGCTACCCAGGATTCACAATGAGAGCGCAATCTGAGCACATGGCTGCCACAGGAGACGAAGCGGTGCCTTCCATCCCACTCCGACGTAGCCGCCAGCCGAGATGCCGACCATGGATGTTCCTACGTACGCTGAAGCGCCGAATCCGAAAGTCGAACGAAAAACTGCTTCACCATTTGCAGGAAACCTTCAGGGAGTTTGTGCCTCCAAGGTAGGGGCTGAGGCTAAGTCACAGCGGGCCACGAATGCTTCCTGTTGGGCTTCGACAAATGAGTAAAAGGCCGCGCATGATCTACACTCCGAGAAAGCACACGCCACAGGAATTTGGTGTGAGTGTCTATACCAGAGGTATGTGAAACTCTAACAACTCGTAACAGTAAAGTTGTCTGGGTGATCTTCTACTGCAGGCACGCATGGCGATGGATGATCAAGCTGAGGATCTGAGACATGCATGCTTCTACAAGCAACGGGAGCAGGTATCAACCTCAGCACCCTCGCGAATTTTGCTTTCTCTTCAACAGCATGCTCCACAACTAGTGAGTACCTAGTGCTCATGTTGTGGAGCCTGGAATGAGAAGGGAAACGAGATCCAAGCTGCTGCCTAACACCGTCAAGGCCTCGCCTGCGACGGCTCCGCCGGTCGCGAAAAGCCCAATCTCGCGGGTGCGGAAGTCAATGACCTCTTCCAGTCCTGAAGACCCAGTCTCGTCTCTGAGTCCTGGTAACTATAGATGCTCAACCCAGCATCCCGTATCAACCGCGGCCATGTCCGTTAAGGGATTCAGGGATTTGTCCACGCGGCATCTCTCAGAAGAAGAACGCTGAGCCGTAATCGGAAGAGCATCTTCTTAATTCCGAACCTGCCCGTGCCGTAAGGCAACCATTAAGAAGCGGAGGGATGCTCATGTCACTTCCTCACAAGTTTTGCGACGTGTGCCTGTCAAGCTACAACTTACAACCAGACTGTCCGTTCCTGAAGTCATCATAAGCGAGTGGCTGCTTGTGACTCATGACATGATGGGTACATCGACCCGATCGCCCTTCACAAACCTGGACCACGTGAGCCCTTGACATGAACCTATGACTACAGAACCTTCAGAAATACCGACGAGGAGCCTCCAGCCAACACCGAGGCCCAGCCGCCAATGCCGCGAATTCCAAGCTGTGGGATTTTGCCTCATTTGGGCACAGCCGCCAAGTGTTGCTCAGCATTGGTTCTTGGTTAAGGGGTCGTGGAATGAAAACTTCGGGGACAACGATTCATTGAGCGTTTATTGACATCAGGCTGCTGGGTGTGGAGTTTTGAGGATATCCTAGCAGACTTGGGCTTGCTGCCTCTCTGATTCCCGCAGCACGGATTCAAGTCCTGCAGGAACCGAAATCCACCCAACTTCCGACTCCGATGCCCTCAGCCGCCCGCCTTTGGTTGTCTCTGCGATGACTTCACGGAGGCCTTTTGCCTCGCGACCTCTCGACGTTCGGGCTTTGAGGCTTTGAGCCTCCATGAGGTTGGGGCTATAGGCTCCAGGTTTGTCAGTGGTTTCGAGGTCCAGGCCTCAAGGTGCCGTTGGAGTAAACCCCGTCTGCCCTGGTTTCAAAACCTGGCCTGATTTCCGCAGCCTCTTTCTGAAAACAAGTCTGGAATTTGTCGGGGCAAGGACCCAAGACGTTCTGAAGGCTTGCGATGCCAACTCAAGGCCTACGAAATAGGCTTCGAGTAGTCTTTAACATCACGGTTCTGAGATCCTTAAGGGACCTGAGTGTGGAGCTGTCCAAGAATTAGGGCGTGGGGGTTGCTTGGGTCAATATGCCAACTCCGAGACAAGAGAGGAACCAAAGGTGCTACAAGTAGCTGTGCTTTTCAAACACCTTCGGGAATGTATTTCGAAGCCCCAGTCGGATGGCCCATCCGAGACTGAAGTGGACAATCTCGCAAGACCCTGACTCAACAGGCAGAGAACGAAGATGAGCGCCTGTTTTGGCATCGCAGGTCCTTTTCTCGAGGCCCGCCTGGGTCGGCTAGCAGAACCACTGGGGATCAGCGTGGGTTTGGAGGCATTCCACAGTCCACAGGTCGAATAGTTAGTCCTCCCGTGCGAGGTAATTTTGTGAATTGATCCTGGCCAGGTCCAGCACCCAGTTATAGGACCTGGTTCCACCGTTCCCATCGGAATTGGGTCAGAAGGGGGGATGGGTTTCAGAGTCTCACGACGCAGGGGCCGGAAGTATAAAGATTCTTCTCTTCAGTCCGGGCAAGGCAAGGCTCAGGAGCCAGGCTGGCCTTCATCTAGAACCTCTGGGCCGAATGGTACTGCATGGCAAACACACCGCATCAGCTTCAGTGGAAGGTAAGGCCGTTCGATCGTAGCCCAGTGCACTATCCCATACATTCATCGTCTCATGGGCGAGAAGCACTTTGCTTCTCCAGGCTCTGCAGCTTCTCAGTCGTGCCTTTGCCCTTCGCCTCGGCCCCGCACCGGCAAGGCATCACAACGATCCGATCCGACAAGAGCTCAGAGGGGCTCACCGCATGCTTGTCCGAACATGTGAACACCCAACAAACCCTGCCGTTCTGCATGTATATATCTCCCTATGAAACACGGTTTGCACACTCACCGAGCCCTGTGAAACATTCAGTCTGCCATAGGGAGGCTTGTCTAATCAGCTAATCAGCAGGCGCTATTGAATTGCCACGTAATCGTTCTAGCAGCTCTTGCCGTGTTCAATATTGTCGTAGCAGGAAGCGGTCCGTCGCAGCTGCGGGCTTGATGAACAGCAGCAGCTACAGTAGCAAATGAAGCGTGATGGCTGTGAAGATCCGAGTCCCGCCAACATCTACGTGAGTTCTCTACAGGCCCCAGTCTCACAAGAAATCGACGCTCAGAGCCAAGCAGGAGATCCGATTACATAGCATGTGAGCGACGCCACCAATCGCAGCCACCATATGAGACAACATCGTCAAGGCTGGCGCCAACTCAGATCAAACAGGAGGTACACCGGCAAACCAGCAAGGGCCGACCGAGTGCTTCCCAAGCCTAACAAACCCCTGAGGGTTGGGCTGCAGCTACCTCCATCCTTAGCTGCTTGAGGGGAAGACTAGGACTAGGACCTGCGAGTTGAGGGCCCGAACAGCACATGTTCTCGACTTTGAATTCCTAGGTGTCAAAGACAGAAACCAAACTTTGGAATCCAAACTGCATACATGGAAAGTGCCGGAAGCTTGACGATTCAGCCAACGTTGAACAGTCACACGGTAGACAGGAGGCATACCAAGCTGAATCAGTACCAGTCACAGGTTTCAGCAAATCAGCAACTTCAGCAGTAGGGTTTCAAACACGCGTGGCGAGGGCCAGGAACATTCCGACATTGGAGCCTTACGAACCCCCCACTGCAAGCATATACACAGCATCAGTTCATGTCAAGCCGAGGCATACGGAGATGCGTCAAGTATTGTGTGCACATATACATACATACATACATACATACATACATACATACATACATCCACACACATAAAAATATATATATATATGTGTACACATACATATACACATGTGCTATTATTAAAATTAGTATTGGCATTAGTGTTGACATGAATTTTATTTTTAGTATAACTACAGTATTCACATTAATGTTAACTGTGAATATGGATGTTAATATTATGAATTATTAATATATAACTTGTTGTTGAACATCTTGTGCGGAACAGCCCTGCAGAACTTATATCTCTCATGTGCTACAAGGATTTTCCGAAACCCGCAACCTGAATCCACCGTCCCAATCGCCCAGCCGTAAATCAGGGGCGAGTGTCTCGGCGGCGGTTTCCTTAAGGACGTGGACCTCTTTCTCGAGCTCGCCCTCGGACTTCTGCCTCAAAGGATCGCTCGAAGGATGAGAGTCTGGTTCAGGCCTCAACTCTTAATGGCGGCCCTTTTAATAACGTGGGCCTCTTTAATGCGTTTTTTTCCTTATTCAAGCCGAGACCAAAAAAACGACCGGCTCAAATAATGCGTTTTTT